TTAATCGTAATATATCGAATGAGTATCAGTTTACCTTGTTGGAGTTGTTAGAGTTGATACTTCAAATAGTTGATAACGTCTTCTTTCACTTTCCTGATGTTTTAGGCCAACTGTCAGTCAATATTCAAGAATGTGACGTGCTGCTTCTGGAGCAGAGATCATGCGACTGGCTTGATAGTTTTTGTTGTGAATCATTATTTGTTTTCTCGGCATTGTTGTGTTGTACTCGGCATTGTTGTGTTCCACAACAATTCTGAGTATAAACAAACATAAGTTGACATTGTTGATGACGTCATTTTTTGACGACGAGGAATCACAAATTTTTATAATAGATTTGGCAGATATAACCTCAGTCGGACAAGCACCACTAAATGAACCAAGAACTGATTAGTGTTATGAATAATTTACAATAGTTAATTCTCATCTTGAGAAACATGTTCACTTACTCATCAGAAGGATGCGCGGCTTCTCCCCAGGCTCTCCGAGGCTCTCTGGCTCCCAGGGATGTTACTTTGTTATCATACGGACGAGGTGGACGGGCAGGAGGTGGCACGTGCTTAGCTTTCTCCTCCACGGGAGGTGGCACAGTTTGACGCACCAGTCTCTTACTAGGCGACCTGGACCATAACAAACAGCATTTTAAAACTGAAATCACATGTACGTTAACACTTTCCAAGTTTGGTTTCTTTGTAGCAAACCAAGAAAAGGTATTTTCAGTTAGGCACATTCATATCCCTGCAGACCAACTATTAAAATCATTATACCTGTCCATCACATGATAACCTCTGTTGTGATACAGAAACCAAATACCAATTTTCTTCTGCCAGCTACACGTTTCTTTTCACTGGCCAACACTGAGACAGGAGTGACATTTCTGTGTTCTCTTGTGTTGTCCAAATGGCAGCCTAATAAAATCTTCTTGGGCAATCAGCAGTGTTAAATTGTAACACAAAGAAACCAACATTTCGGGAACCATCTCCATCCTCATCATCAGGGTTCCAATGTCTTCGTATAACCATCAAATGTGGCTGATTGCCCAAGATTTTAATGAGTTTACTCACTGTGAAAGCTTCAAATCATATAACAGTGAACTAAGACTGGGTAGGAAGTTACTTTCAAAATATGGCATTACTGTCTAAATGCTCAGTCTCATGTTGACTGCACTGCAGTGCATCCCTAAAACTCACCTTACAAAATGCCTCTGCAGCCGTGCCCGCTGTCGGCCATCTTCCACAGTCTGAAACTCTGTGCGTCCTGAGTAGTGAAACTTTGAACCAAGTCTGAGTGGGAATCGACGACCCTGAATTTGCGGAGAGTGAAGACGGAAGAATGTGTGATGTTCTACGCACGACTTCCACAGATTCTTTGATGATCGGTATGTCATCATGTTGAATCCAAGTAGAGTGTCATAACTCTCAGACTTAAAGAAAACAAATATCAAATACAGAACTAAAGCAGAGTTTATTGTATAGGTCAGGGAAGCCTTTACACACATACCTAACTCGTAACTAAGAATTTTGAACAGTCTGAGCAACACAACGCCATGTGAAGTAACAAATCTTGAGTCTACGTATCAAACTCTAATCAATCTGTTAGTAACATGCATGAAGGCTACGAAACTGCTGCATAAATGCACACACATGTGAACTAGGCTTTCAACATCTTTCCATGTTGTATTGTCTGTCTTCTTCAGGGAATTGATGGGCTGGCTTTGGGAGGTTCTACAGAAGATACGATCAAACAATACCATTTATCAGAGCTTTATGGTCAGTATTGGTGGTCAGGTTTGTTTTTTTGTTCTGGGCTAATCAATATTAAAGCCAATCATCACAACCTATTGCCCAAAGACACATGTCAAATTATCCTCCCACCTCCTTTTTGATCATCCAAGTAAATTATTTCTAAGAGGTTTCTTTACCAAATTCCTTCTTGTTACACCCACCTACAATGCACAATCATTATAGTTCCCAATCTGGCTACTCAAGCAAAACTAGACAGGCTGTAGAATTTGTATGAGTCAAATCAATGCATTGAATACATTTACCTGCAACTGAAAAATAAGCATAACAGTAAATATGATTATATACTTCTACAGACCATCACTTTTCTTAATTAAAACTGATTATACTGAAATTAAAACTAAAAATAAATAAAAGTTAAATAAATTTAATTTACAGAAAACTATGTTATACAAAGAAATTGTTTGTGTTCTCTGCTGAATTAAACTCTTGCAGACTGTCTATTTACACTTTTAATGTAAATTGTTACCATTTATTTTAATTTCACCCACTTATTTTTAATTTAGTCTATCAAAACATTGTAATAAAAAAGTATATGAGCCAGGATAGCTCAGTCACTATAGTGATTAGCTATAAGCTGGATGACTGGGGTTCGATCACTGACAGGGCAGAGGATTTTCCCTCTAGCCTCTGCGTCCAGACCGGTACTGGGGTCCTTTCCCGGGAGTAAAGTGCGGCCGGGGCGTCATGCAGACCACTCACCCCCATCTAGTGTTGAGGTCAAGAAAGAATAGGAGCTGTACCTCCACTCCCCCCAAGCGCATAGGCATGTAGCGGGAATAAAAAAAGTATAGATTCTCAGACTTTCCTAATAAATGATATCAAGAACACAATAAATTATTCAAAACTGCAAAGGTTTTTCACTATTTATATGGGATCTCAGTTGCAGATTAATGAAATGTACAACAATTTAAAATACGTGTTAACACATTCACTGGTAGCAGTTAAATTCAAGTGACACTTCAAATGCCAGAAACTTCCAAGGATGGAGTTCTGAATTGTCTGAAAAAAAAATTTAATTTCAGGAAATTAAAGAATGGAAATTTTACATTGTGGCATTGTTTATAGCAGCCTTCAGTATTCAGAGTAATGCCATACAAAAGACATAAAATTATTTTTTCCCTCTTCATGTTTCTTTTAAGGCACTTTGCAATGTCTTCATACATACAATCACTTTTGACACTATAAATGCAAATAAGTGATTCTTTATTTTCCCATCCAGTCAATACTCTGGATCACTCTTAAGTGCCCTCTTGGGTAGAGAGGAGGCAACTGTTCATGGCAAAACATCACATCTCAAAGGAAGAAAAGATTGTGTCAGCACGGTTTAGTGTCTCCCTGTCAGTTATGTCGTCTAACCTCCCGTTGAGCTTGGAGTAGATGGTGAAAGAGATAAAGAGTGCACACTGCAGAAGATAACAGAATACATCGTCCATCTCATTATGGAGTAACACAAAAGATACTGGTCAGCAGAATCTAGAGAATGTGTACACTACATGCAAAATAATCAACTATGCACTTTGCCTGGACCTTCAGAAGACAAGTACATCTTACTTCTGTCAGGTGGTAATCATGACTGTCTACTTATTGTCTCTTGATGTTGATTTGAGCATAAAATATATATCAAAACTCCTATCATCCACACTTCATGCAATTTCCTCTTCTACTGGTGCTTTAATTTTCTCACATCCATGACTGTACTTTGGTGAAACTCATGACTACACACAAAGAAAATACAGACTACAGATCGGCTACAACCTCATATGTACACGATACACAAATGCTGCAACTCAGATACGATATAATTTATTTACTGTTTTCATTTTATGGTTCATCTTCGACTAATTTCCTTTTCCTTTAGCTTGCATGGTTATCACAAAAACAAAAAATAACTACACAGTAAATGTAAAGGGACAGATTGGGGGGGGAGGAGAGGGGGGGGAGAGAGAGAGAGAGAGAGAGAGAGAGAGAGAGAGAAGAAAGGCATATGGTAATGCACAGTCATTTAAATGATCCTCCAGTTAAACCCTATTCAGAGATCATGCCAAATTTCCCAATATTACTTCAAATATAAGGAGTGGCACACTAAATGCTCTTTGATGTTGGTACTATTAAAGCTTCGCTGATAAATAAAAACTGTTTATTTTTTGTAGTAAATGTGTAAAGTGAAATTCAGTGCAACAAGACTCCAATGTCTCTGTAAGAAAATTATAAACGGGAACACTACAAAGAGTTATCACTGTAGCCTATAACAAACAAACAAACAAAAACAAAAAACCATTACGCAACCTGCCACTGTATTACAAATACACTTAATGATCTGTAAGTGTTGTCAAATACATACCGGTTCCCTGCGAAGCTGAATGAAGAACTGTTTCCTCTTGAATGAGATTTTGACTATCTTGGACCAAGAAAACGTGTTGATGCGAACATTATTCTGAAATACCACTAAACCCACTGATGTCACACCAAGGTGTATGTCCTTGTTTGCTGTATCCTAAAACACATACAAGACGATCTATTTTACTGCCACAAGTATTATACGTGCAAGATGTCCCAAAAAAATGTATATACATCATAATATGGAATATTAATCTTGTGTGTATACAACTTTTTGGGACACGTCTTCAAAGATTCTCATGGACAATGTCTGTCCCATAACTCTACACATCTTTTCTCACAGCTTTATATTTAAAGAATAAAAACTCACTTTCAAAAAGAGGGCATGAAAATGGTGCCACAGCAAGAGGCTGTCATGCTGTGATTCAGCAAACCTGAAGTAGACTAATATTTCCCGAAGAGGTTATTAAATTCACACCTAGAAGTTTAGGCTATAATTTATGGACTCGAAATCTACAAAGCTGTTGCTTTTTGCACTTTCACTTAAAAATTATTTGAAGTGACTTTAACAGCTATCAATGTGATCTTGGCACCTTCACTGGCTAACTTGATAGTGCTTATTTCCAGTTTACCAATACAGCTGTAATGATCTCTCAACCACAGCAGTTCATTCTATTGAACATACAATGCAGAGAACAAAAAAAGTTGACTATGTACACTAACAATGTCCCTGTACACATTGTCATGTTTGCCACTGTCAACTGACAAGCCCATTTTTCAAACTCAATATTTACTCTTTAAATGAGAGTGAAAAGTGCTTTTGTACCACTACAAGAGTCTGTAGCTCTCCCACAGATCTAAATTAAGATACTTCAGCAGTCTGATTTGTTTGTCAGTCTGAGCTGAATAATCGTGTAATAAGGAAGCATGCATCTATAGCTTCTACAGAAGCATGTAGCACTCAAACAGAAGCACATGGCAACTACATGACTGGACACAAATCTTTTCAAAGCCAGTCTTCAAGGATTACATAAGCGAAAAAGCCATGTTTTTTTAGAACAGCAATTAATAACCTAACCTAACCTTGCATTTGCTATCTTTCCTCTCATCATGCACTCACATATTATTTTTAAAAGTGATACATTTACTGACTAATACATATTATATCCAAAGCAGTGCAATAATTAAATTTTTTAGACAGCTCAATAATTCATTTCCTTCAACACAACAGATTTTCTTGTCACATTACTGTGCCCACATAATGACACGATACTTAATGTCGGAAATTCCCTGGGAGGCATTCAAAGGGGTGGCAAGCCTAGGGTGGTCAACCAGGATCATGTGTGCCTAGGGGTGTCCAAACCTACTGAGGGCAAAGCACATTGGAAGGAAGCAAAGCTTGTTGGCATGCAGAGAACTAGTGGGGGAGAAGGCAAGATCGGGTGGTGGCAAAATACTAGGACCAAGCCCTGTCGGTAAAGCCCTAAATGGGGGAAACCACAGAGGGAAAAGGCCTGGAAGGAAAGAAGGCAAACTGGGAGGGGGGGGCACTAAGAACCCTGGTAGTGAACAACCATGGAACCAGTTTGCTACTTGGGGAAGTCTAGCCCCAAGTTGACAGTCTCTATGGAGGCTAGCTGAAAGATGCAAAAGACTGACAGACACACAAGGCCACAAGGTGTGCTCCAGTTACACTAAACTTTAACTAACTAACTAAATGGCTTACCAAACCCGAAGATTCATCACCAAATTAACCAAAGCCCTACACCGGACCCTGCCCTAGGCCAACAAAATCCAGTCTCCTTTAACTCCTATCTCCCATAGATCCTGCCTGACATTATCCTCCCATCTACACCTAGGTCTCCCCAGTGGTCTCTTCCCCTCAGGCTTCCCAACCAAGAACACCTAAACTGCAAATGAGTTTATTTCTAATTATGCTAGTTTAATAAATGTAGAAATTCTTACATCGAATATATCAAATTAAAAAATAGTGCTTACCCTTACCCTAGCACGGTGCAGGTCGACCCCATACATATCAAGACGCTTTGCATGGTCCAGGAAGTTAAACTCTGCATCTGCCGGTGTTTGTCCTCTGCAGCAATGAAACAGCATTTATACCAACCTTCAGAATGTAAATTCTAATTAAATCACTTAAAGACCCATAAAATAAAATTCAGAGGACCAAATTTCTCATCCCTGTGATTCAAAACTTCCTAACAGAGAGAGTAAAGTGTTGTTGTCTCTTTCATGGGAGATTACTCTTGGAATCATTCTGTTGTCTTCAGAAGTTTGGTCTTAGACTAGTGTGAGGGCAAGGAAGCATGCAGGCTGACTATTTCTGGTGACAAAGGTGAAACAAGATCTCAATTTTTCATGCTTGCAAATGTCCAGTAGCAGTCAGCATGTGTCATGAAGATCAGCCAAGGTAACTTCAGATTGTTAGGTCTTGGAGTTTGGGTTGAAATACACTTGTTTCGTAGGATTTGAGGTTTTCACGGTGGTGAGTCCAAAGTTGGCTGTCGTTCTGGGTTGTTGCGCCGTGTAGTCTGGTAGAAGTTTACCGACGTTTCAGAGGTCCTTGCTGCCTCCATCATCAGGGCATTGCATGGCACAACAACCCAGAAGACAGCCATCTACATGTGTTTCATTAAATTAGTAGTATACAGCAGAGTAAATATATCTTTCCCTTATAAACAGTGTGAACAGTCATCCTTTTAAAATGAGTGCAAGAAAGCAAAAACAAATAGACAGTGAATTCAGGCAAACTACTTTCTGGACATTATCCATCGTTCCAGATTAAATAAAACATGACGTTTTGAAGATTGGAATCTATCTCTTGAGGTAAAACCTACTATGTCGGGCCCAATCGACAGAGCTAGTTGCTATCATCACAAATCTTTAGAATTAAGTGAATTCAGGGTTTTTAAAAGGCTGTGGGAAGATTATTTCTTTAATGAAATGCGCTTAATTTTAGGCAATATAGTTAATGTATTCAAAGCTTTCAACCTAATGCATAATTCACCACAGGACACAACACCTCAATTTCAACTCACAAATAAGTTATATGTTAGATGAAGAATGTTCCTGCTTACTTAATAAACTTTATGCAAATCCTGAAAGAAAATCAGCAATACCCAACAACGTAAATAAATCTTACTTATGAAGTTTATGAAGCTCTGCTATTTTCTTCTCCATTTCTTCTGTCTGCCCAGGCATGAGCTGGAGACTGGACAAGTATCCAGGTCCATGCTCTTCAATATGGTAATCACCAAGTTCAGCTGTAAGAGAGATTACAATGGCAAATTATATAACTTTAATAATATAATAAAAACTCATATTTTCACGACTTTGTGTTTCTTGCATCATTTTGTCTGAGGAAATGAGAGGTTTCAATTCTTCAAAGTTATATTTCACAAAGCCTGTGCACAAATACTAAAATTCCTCAAAATGAACTTCACAGACCAGAGTCCTTGTTGAGAAACTGTTAGTCTCTCAGCTAGTCAAAAAATTACCAGCCTTTTATGATCATCTGTTCCACATTACAGTATTCACAAGAGACCAACAGACACATCTTGAGCTATATGAATCCAACCCACACTACATTTCCATAAGATCCAGTTTAAATTGTGCAAAGGCAGTGGGCTTATCACTCACTACTCACAAATGCACACATCAAAGACCAAGAAACCTCCGAATGAAGACGCCAAAGACCCACACTGGATTGTAGAGCCAAGGAAGAAGATACATACATAAATAAAATTAAGCCAATACTAGGTAACTTCAAAGATAAATTTTCAACTGCATATAGTCTGAAAAAACATGCGTGGGCAAATCCTTACTGCTACAGAAAGGCAGATGGAATCCAAACAGATATGTAAATCTTTACGTGCGGTGAGAGCAGGACTGGTTATGTAAATAATCTGACTGCCTACAACTTAAATTAGTGAGTAACATGGGCACATGAACCATGTTCAGAGTGACAAGTCAGCTACTCAACAAAGGGTAGAGTTTATATTTAAACAACAGTCCCAGAATCGGTTGGCATAATGATTGATCGCCGAACTGACTGTATTGAAATAGTGAGACAGGCTCCAAAAGGGTAAAATCCTGACAAACACCTTCAAAAATAATTACTGCAGATGATACTGCAAAGAAAAATGTTCTGGGGTTCAGCGATAACGATTTATTTAAGATATTCAGTGTTAGTATCAGATGATTAGGCACAGATAACATTCTGGCAAAAAATATTAATAATTAAATGTAAACACTTGTAAAATTTCCCAGCTGTAACAATGTGGGCACTGCGCTAGTCTCTATCACGATGAAGTGTGCTACTTTCTTAATTCAATTAACCTGAAGACAATGTAAACTAATCAAACAAAGTAAGCACATTTAATTTATAAAAAATCATATCATCACCAATAATATTAGATTCTAACTTAATGTAAAGCAGAGATTAAAGTGGATCAAAATAAAAATCCTGTAAGAAAGGTCTCATTAAAATGTAACTGGTTAACATAATAAAACGTGCAGATAAACAGGCAGAAATATATGACCATCACATTATGCATAGAACATACATAAATTGTGTTGTATTCTGCAACTGAGAGTGTTAGTTTTTATTATATGCAAATACAAACTTGAAGGGTGAGCTACATACATTGCACGGTATAGCTGGCGAGGAGGCAAGCTGTACTTGCTGGTAACTGTAAACGCCCCTGCAAGATGTCCCTACGAATCTGCAGGTAGAAATGATAACGAGTATACTCCTCCTGAAGCTTGCTTGGATCTGACACATAGAATTTCACTCGGAAATAGAAATTACCACCTGAAAAAACCAAGTTAACTCGAATTCAACTAGCTCTGGTAGCTTAACACAAGTGTAATATAATGAAAACTCTATACAGCAATATATTACGGAAACTGTGTTCTTAATGCTCAAATTTAAGTTGTTTTAACAATAATGTAAAACTTCAATTCACTTCTGTTTAATCTTATTCATTATTTTGTATAGACATTTTTTGACATTTCTGAATTCAACATAAAAAGCAACTAAGCATAGAGTTTACTTCAAACAAACTGCATGTTCCAAATTAGGTTATAACATAAACAATGCCATTGATTCTACATGTCATCAACATTTCCTTAAGAGCATAAATTGGCACAGATTTTACACCTTTTTAGTGTGCAAATTACAATGATAAATATGCTGCATATAACAATCAACAGAGTTTTATCAACCATTCAAGCCAGGATCTGAATGTACCTGAAGCAAATACTGTATTTAAATTACCTGTCATAAGAAATTTGTGACATACAAATTGTAATTTTTTTTTATTTTCAATCAATCCGCAATCACAAACTTGTCTCCACTCACTACATCTGCCTCATTTTCCTCACTAGCTTACGGTTTTTCAACAAGACTTCCACTCAATGCCCTGATGATGGAGGCAGCAAGGGCATCTGAATGTATGAGATGAAGCTTTCGTAGCAACTAAAGTTTATGAAAGATTCTCGGGCTACAAGCCACATCAGGATGAGAGCAGAGGTTGTTCTCAAAATGTTGGCAGAAGATATGGTTTCATCACCGTTCAGCCACCTCACGCAGCTTGCAGCCCAAGAACCTTTCATCATCGACATCTGAAATGTTGGTAAACTTCTACCAGACTATATGATACTATCATCCAGAAGACAACCATCAACAATACTCTTATCACCTTCATTATAATCTAATTTACTCCTACTTTAAGAAATTCTAATGCTTCTGTTAACATATTCCTGTAAAACTTCTAGTTTTTCCAAATTCAGACATGAAATGCTAGATTATGCCATGCTGCTTACTGGTTGATACAGTTTCAATGTAAAAAAGGGAAATAACTTGGGTGCAGTTACATGTATGAAGGAACAGGTGAAAGAAATGGGAAGTATAATGCTCAATGGTCCAAATATTATGACAAAAATCCAACAAATAGCACAGCAATGACAATTTGACTTGATGCCTGCAAGCAGTGAGTACATACTTAGGATTCTGCTTAGAAAGAAGGCTTCCAGCTGCGAGTACACTCTCAGGTTACCGGCTTCAAGGGTTAATTGTAATAATTACGGGGCCTCATAATGGATAGGGAAATTAATTTGTGGAGATGTTCATTAAACTGACTTGGTCAAAATCCGGTGTAATAAAATTCACACACCAGTCTTACAAAGAAACAAAACACTATGCAGCTGATATGAAATAAAGTGCTGTAGAAGTACAGATACGCAGAATGAAGTGCAGAACGAAAATGCCAAAACAATTAAGTCACTAAACAGTGCTGAAGGGAGAGTGAAGACACAAGAAAGTAAGAAATCTGAAGGAATGTGGCTAGAAAGATGCATATTTATGTAGTAACAGAATGGGAAAATTAAGAAAATGGGAAATACTAATGAGATGCTATTATTATTTATTTAGTGTTCTGTCTGACAACAGGTCCATTGTGCTATATGAATAAAAGACAGCAACAGTCAAAATACTATTCTTACCTCGAAGCTGCTTCTTCACTGGCTTTGATGGATCAACCCACCGCTGCAATGAACATAAACATTAATGTTGTACAACTCTTACAATGTTCTTTCCAACACGATCTATAATTTCATAAAGCATATTAATCATAAACCAAAAAACAGGAACAAACATTAGACTATACAAGCACATACCACAAGCAAGAGTGTGCATGACAGCACTTTCCTATAAACATTTGTCAGAATCTTACAGGATATTCGGACATAAGAGACAAGAAGTAACAGAAGGCTGAAAACAAATGTATAATGAGAAGTTTCAGTCTGCAGTTTACCAAATATTATTTGGGTGATCATGGTATGATGGGTGGGGCCTGTAGCAAGCAAGTAAATGATGAGAAATGCATACAAAATTTCAATTCCAAATCTTAGTAGATGAGATGACTTCGGAGACCCAGTTTTAAAATGTATCATGAAGAAACAGAGTTTGATGATGCGGATCAGATTCATCTGGCTTAACATAAGATAAAGTGCTGGGCTCTTGTAAACATGATAACAAACCTTTGTGTTCCATAAAATATGAGGAATTCTTAACCAGATAAATAACTGTTATCTTCTCAAGAAAAAATAAATTCCTTCATGAAGTCAAACAGTTACACTATTTAATTTAATATCTGAAGACCCAATATATTTGGCCACTTTGGGCACCCATTTACTGGCATAACAAATGTTTTAACTATTCTCAAAGTGATCATTTCTACCACCGCATCATTAATAAGTCTTGCGGACAGAGATGATGGTTATGTGACTTTTAATTCTCATATTGTAGTTGCTTATTTCTTTGCATATTGAAAGCCTGAGTGCTGACTACCTGTTTGTGTTGCATAAATCAACATCAACGATGACGTCAACATGTTGCGACAAAGCAGGAGTGAGAACTGTGGCAAATCACAAAGCCTTTCTTGTCCTTCTCACACTGTCACTCATTTACCCAATGATTAAAATGTGACACAAATTACAGCAGCTGAGGTTTGGATGCTTCTGCATATGTACTGTTATTTGCCCTCATAAGCCAATCAGCTTCTGTCACATGATGCATGCTCACTTGGGTAGTAGCATTGTTTGTGAATATTGCATTCATGGCATGGCAGAGAATGGGTTAGTAGGTGGGTATGGTTCACAAACAACTAAAAGTCTATGGAAGCTGTGCAGTCAACAGAAGCTCTGTTATACTGACCAACACAAATGAAGGCAAATAGTACAGAGATGTACAGAGAACTGCTTGTGCTTCATACTCAAAGTAATTAAATACTTTACACATCAACTATATGCCTTGCTTGTACAAAACCTGGCATCCGCAGCATTCACTTTTCACGTTTTGACATACCACTTGTGTATCTAATACTTATTATATTCACACAATATTCAAAATGCAATCACGGCTCTTTAGTTGAGACGTGCCTCACTGAAGGACACCATTTTGGTGACTCACCGTCACCACAAACAGGCAGCTCAGACTCGAAATTTGTATCAGCAAAGGAAGGGACAGTGCAAGCCCTCACATATTCAATGGTGTGCGCAAGATGAGTTCTTCAAAACCTTAAACTGAACACAATACTCTGTACAAAGATATATGTTCAGATTTTGTGGCATGGAATGAAGCTTTGTCCTGGAATGTTACAGATTATGAAACCTGGATCCATCATTATGAGTCAGGGGGAGGGGGGGAGAGAGAGAGAGAAGAAGGAAAGAAGGAAGGAAGGAAGGAAGGAAGGAAGGAAAGAAAGAAAGAAAGAAAGAAAATAAAAGAAAAGAAAAGAAAAGAGGGGCAGTCCATGGAATAGCAACACTCTACCCCTCTCCATGAAAGAAAAGTTGAAGAAAATTCTCTCGGCAGCAAGTTCATAATGACTCTACTTCGGGAGTGTGAAGGGGTGATCTTGGTGGATGTGATGCTGACAAGGGAATGGTCTGGATGGTCACGTCAAAACCTCACCTGAAATTTTACTCATCTACAGAGCCCATCTAGTAATGATTGTGCACAAAATTTCAGCTGCTGATACGCTATGCAAGGGTGCGAAAAAATTGCTCAAAATTCAAATGTACAGTTAAAATTCGTGCCACAGTGCACATGCGTGACAGCAGCAAAATTTCAGGTGAGGTTTCAACCTGACCAACCGGACCATTCCCTTGTGAGACAGTGACCGTCAACTCAGACAGCTACATGAAAACAGTGAAGACCCTCAAAAAGCATAACTGGTGAATTCATCCACATAAAAATCCTGCACAATTCTTGCTTCAACACATATCCCCAACCAAATTTCACAAAACTTGGCTGCAGTGCACTGCTCCATCCACCCTACAGCCTTCATCTTCCTCCTCCTGATTTCCGTCTGTTCAAAGAGCTAAAGGAACATCTTTATCTAAAGATTTTGTAAATTTATGCTTTAATATTACATATGTTTGCTTGATGCAATCCATGGTACAAGGTTTGAGGATGATGATGATAATGTGATTCATGACATGAGGACATGACCACGAGAACAGGAGATGACACACTGGCAAAGGCATACATGCCATTGTTTCTTGTTAGCATAAGGCTGTAGATTATGTAGGATAATAGAGCACGTAGACAATACACCAAAAGAATGTGGTACATTGCTTTCTGGACAATCCTCATAGTTACAGAGGTGCACACAGCCCATAGACCAAGGAGTATTTGTATCCATGAAATGATGCTACATGACTAACCTTCTCAAAACTCTTGCAGACAAAACAACAACATAATACCATTATGGAAAAAATTAGTGTTATAATCTGTTTCTCGAGCATAAATTCAGTAACACTAGTGCGATCACATTGGAAACTTTCTTCGAGATATATAAGATGATGATTTGAATGGTATTCCCAATAAAGAAATCAGGAAGTCCAAAATTGTTGACATGGCATGTACTATGAGAAGTTCTGAAACTATCAACAAAGATAACACTGAAGAATAACTACAAAGTGATGTGCGTAACCTGGGCTTCCAACACGACAGACACAGATGCCGTCAATGATGACACATAACAAAAGGGTGTAAAACAGGGTGGGGAGGATAAGAGTGAAGGAAGAAAAAGTGTGCACATCAGTCACAGTGTGCTTACATTCTATTAGATTACATGGGTCAGGAAGGGTTTGAATACAGTGACGTTAGAGTTGCGAGGAAAAGTTGTACTGCTGCGAGGAGTCTAAACAGTTCACAAGAACAAACTACTACTCAAAACAAACAAACATCATTATGTAAAATAACGTAAAGCAATTTATGATGTTTTGCAAATGCAGAAAAAGAAACTGGATTATCCATCATTTTATTATTTGTACATCCTCTCCTCTTCATTAGGTCAAAGTACATTTCTTCATACTTACTCATCTCAACAGCCTTTCCGAAAGCTGTCATACATAGTACTACTTTATGAAACAATCACTTACCATAACATCACAGTTTGCTGTTGTGGGAGGCATTCCATTGTCAGAAAACTGAAGACCAAAGTAATCCTTTTCAACCAGTTCAAGATGCTGATACACCAGTTCCAACAAAATATGACCTTTTGCACGTTTCTGAAATCAGAATATTATATTACATGTGCACATGTCTAGGTCCATTTCACTACAAAATAGCACCTGAAATAATAAATGCAAACTCTCCCTACATGATCTTTGGACATCTCATACTGCACAATCTTTTTATAATTTATTCATTACATTACATACAATTTCTCTTCTTTAGTCTGTTTATAACAACAGTTTAAGCACAAATAAATGTGTCGATTTGCATCATATTTTTAGGCGTTCTTTATGCTTCAGTGTAAGAGAACATCCTGTGAACCCATCCACATTTATTTGTCTGTCATGCCTTTCAACTACCCCAACTGAGGATACCACCTAGGTTGTCAATTATAATGCCAAAGATGAGTATATATCACATTTTGTGTTAGGAAATACTTCTTGTCCATAGTCTGTACTCCTTTCCGCTGTCATTTCTGATATAATGTTGGCATACTGATAATCTCACAGAAGAGACTAATCATTTCTGCCATACAGAGTAATACATAAAATTATTCTGTGGCGTAACAGCTCCAGGGAGCCAAAGCCGACTAGCTTGACTGCTGGCCTCACGTTCACATGTCTAAGCAGAGGTGAACAATCATCCAAAAAGATATAGGGTGATGTGTGGTCAGCACAACGAACTCCAGGCCATTGTTAGTTTTCATGACTGGATTACGCTACTCATTGTAGCTCCCCAATTTCCTCACGATGCTGGGTTGGCACTGGTCCCATACACTGGTCGAAAGCTCATGAGAAAATTTCTTCTCCTCCAAGACCCGAACCAGCGCGCATTCCGTATCGCCGGTCCGAAGCATGATGCCTCAGACCACGCGGCTACGGCGCGAGACTACATAAAATTATACTACAGTTAAAATCTGTTATGCTTTTAGAATGCAGACAAACTTATTGAACTGAATGACAACAAAATCTCCAATCTTAAAACTGTTCTTATTTGCTAAATAACTACCTTGGGAAATATACTGACACAATTATGGACATTACCTCTATCTGAAAACAGTGTTGAGTATCATCCAAGAAAACCACAGTAGCACATAAGGTTTTAAGTCGTCGATCCCGTGCCAATTCTGATGCCCGAACATTGTACGTGCCACTTGAACCACTGAATGCGCGTCGAGACACACTCTCAATCATTCTGGTTCTGCCTTCAGCCGGCCTCCCACGGGTGTAGCTCAACCTGAAGGAATAACACAACCACCTTAACAGAAATGTGGACAACTTTTCATTTCTCATGTAGTGTATTTTACAGTAATTTTGTAAATGTTACATAGAAAATGTTTAATTTGTTTTAAATCATCAACAAATTTATATTTTAAATTTATCTTACTATCTATGTCTATCTAGACACAGCCCAATCAGTGGCTGGGTCATAATTATATTTCTTTATTGTCTGTCTCAGACTACACAAAGAAAATGTGATAATATTTCAACTGCAACAGTCAAAGAATTAGAATATATGCTCAAAATATTTGCCTTTAACTGAATATAAATTGTTTTGCGAATTATAATTATTAACAAAAATACTTCTTTAAAAATCATTTACAACATTACCAATTTTTTCCATCATATCTCCACAGTACTGTGGACATGCGCAAGTATGTCAATATTACTACGTACAATTTAGGTATACTCCACGCAACAAAAATCAGGGGCCTAAAACTTTCTAAGCGCAAAACCAGGAGTAACGTAAGCATGCAGCTGGCATCTTTCTTCTTAGTTCACCTTGGAAATAGAATCAGATAGTTAGCTTCCTTTTCTGAATGTTCTAGTCATCAGAAAGGGGCTGACATTGACCACTAAGGTTTGTAGAAAATTCACCCACACTTGCCGCTACCTAAACTCTGAATTGAATCATCCATCACATGTTAAAAAAGGGATAATTCAGAGCCAACATACCAGAGCCTCGGTCGTATGCCAAGAACAACAAGAACTGCTCATGAAGTTGACAATCTGAGATGCGATCATCAGCTCAATGGTCACCCAAAATGGTTCATTGACATGGTTCTCAATTCTAGAAAAAGTAGTCTTAGTAGTAGTGGAAGAGTGGAAAAAGTCTCTTAGTTTAGTGTTTAACCCTTATGTGAAGGTAATTTCAGAAAAGTTCAAAGGTACAGGGAATCACCACATCAGGAAAATTTTCAAAACAAGATACTCTTAGAAATTTACTTCAGAGAACCAGACTGGAAAGATGTCCACAACAGATGTCCCACTGTGTCTATCGCATTCCCTGCTAGCCGTGTGGCTCTGTGAGCATAAACACAATTTGAGAGAGGACCTTCCAGAAAAATCAAAACTGGCCCAGCATGCCTATAAGCAGGGTCATAGGGTAAGATGAGATGAAGCCCAGATTTTGGAAACTGAGAGTAACAGAACATACAGAAAACACGAGGAAACAGACCGCATCGCACGTCTAGCAAATCCCATCAGTCAGCCTTGTTCAGAAATCTTTGCCAAATCTCAAGTAAAGCTGGTTTTTACTTGACAGACTCTTCTGAGTACTTCATAGCTCTATTTTAGGTGTGTATTCTTGGGCCACAGGTGGTGCTAGCAGTAGACACATATGGCAGAGGAGATAATATTTTGATTTTCTGCACAGGGGTTCCAGGATTGCGTGGTTTTGAATTTGGTTTGATGTATTTTAATTTCCACTTCAACATTTGTCTTATTAGTCTTGACATTTATTAGCCTTCTCATAACTGTTATAGTTAATCTTATTATAATCTCCTGCTGACATACCTTAATCTCAGGTGTTTATACACATGTAGGTGACCAAAATTAGCTCATTCTAATGAAACCCGCAGAGGAGGTGCCCCCCGTAACTACACCTAAAGACAAGGACAGATCCAGTCCTCAAAATGTTGGGTATTTTATAACATTAGCTGATAGACAAGGTACAAAAACCCAACAATCCAGAATATCTGGAAAGTTTACTTAAGAAAGGGCTACAAAATTATCTACTCTTTGAGAAACTTCTACTGATAAAAAATGTCAGAATGACTGATATCAGCAACAATGATAACCTGTTTAGCTTATGAAGTGAGCATAACAACTCAAACTCTTTACATAATCTGTGCTATAATGCTGGCATCTGATCAGACATTTAGACTTAAAGGTAATGGTTAGGCTTTAAGTAATATCAATTATGAAATCAAACTTACAGTCATGATAATATGAGACCCCTCGCCCTTTAATCTGGCTAACTGCGGCAAATTCTAGAAGGCACTCTGAAAGAACAAGCAGTGTAATTATTAAACAATTTTGTACATATATGACAGTAATCTTATTCTCGGTTGTGACAGTGTGTAGTAGACTCATGGGTAGCAACCAACCTTTCACAGAAACATGTCTCCATCGTCTACCCTGAAGATGCAGGCAGGATGTTTCTCCAAAACGCTGGTATCTACCTGCAACTACATGGCATCAGAACCCAGAAAAACACTGTCATCTCCACCACCATAAGAACCTCAAATCCTTATGTACAAATTTGATATAAAATAAGCAAACAGAGTGTGACAGAAAAAAGAAACAACATATAACAAAAGCTAACCTGTAAAATGTTTTATGCATAAGAGATGGATAAAGGGCAGTTCACAAATCCAGTAACCAACCTTTCCTTATGTCAAATATATTTTTAAATAAGAGAAAAATTATGAGTTCATAATCAGACAAATATTATAATTTCTGTGCACACTTGCACAACAGTCCAAGAATTGTGTTATTTATTGTGTAGAAACATAAGTATCTATCTATAACGGTGCCAAAAACAAAACAAAATTATTCCATGCAATTTCATAAGAATGTAAAAATAAATAAAATACAGAAATGTGTTGAATGGGTGTTTAAAATTTAAAAAAAGACATTTGAAGTCGGCTATGATTAACAATGGACAATGTGATTGAAAGTTGCAAATATCCATATGCAAATTTTCATTCATGTTTATTTGGTGAAAGTAAGTTCAATGTAAAGAACTGTATTCTTTTGTGGTCCTGTATTTTATAACAATTTTGTTATTCTGTAATAATATTAATTTGTTTCTCAGATGGTCCCAAATCCCCAAAATTAAAAAACAAAATCAGTCTCTTGAAAAATGTATGTTTACCCAAGGCCTACAAACTTTAAAACCAATTGAGTAAGTATCCTGAAACTTGGTATGACTGAAGAGAATAGAATTTAATTACAATTCACAGATCCATCTTAGGCCAAAATCACGAATGAGGAACATGTCCTAACACAAACACAATACTTGTTTCAAATACAAATCACATACTTGTTACAATGATTTAAAGTCAACTATAATATTACAACAAAAATAATTATACAAGAAAGCATCATTACTACTATTTACATGTATTTGTAATAGCTGTGAATTTTTGGTTGAGATTAATTCTTCTGCGCAGCAAGAGTGTCATTCAAGATACTCTTTTAGTGTTGGCTTAAAGTCATTTATATCATGATTCTGACCTTTTACAATAGGTGTAAAACTACTGAACAGCTTGATTCCAGTAAAGTAGCCTCCTTTTTGATATTTACTAAGGTTAAGGCTTGGTACATGTAGGACACATCTGTATCTTGTACTTATATTTTCGATATCTCAATTTATTTAAAAATGTTCAATGTTGTCCACTACAAATTCACTGCCTAGTGAAAGAAAATTAATTTCTTATGTAATTCCCTACATGAGGCTCTCCTTTTATTGCCTGAAATTATTCTAAGATTTGGCTTGAATGTAAAATACCTTGTTGTCTGTTGAGTTTTGCCAGAAAATAAATCCATATAACATGACTGAATTTAAGGATGCAAATGTGACTAATTTTAAAGTTTCTGTATTTAAGAGAGATGTGACAGTCCTCACAGCAAAGCATAGGGATAATGAATTGAATGTCTTTTCCAATTTATGCTATTCTCAATTTGTTGGCCAAGAAATTTAGTTGTTCCCAATTCGATTGTTTTATCCCCGTACATTACATTTAGATTAACACAATTTTGTTGTTTGAATAAAATTTTTTATTCAAATGACTCATCACCATCGTCAAGAACTTTTTGATTTGATATACAATTTTGTTGGTATTACAAAATTTCATGAAATTTGTTTTGTCAAAATGTAATGAGACAAGAAGTCAAGCCACTGCAAGTTATTCTGATGCAATTTCAATTTCAAAAGCTACAAGGTATGGACTACACATCCATGGTTCAATTCTCAGCATAAATTTTACCATACAAGCATAGAGGCCCATACATCATCTCCCATCCAATGCAGACAGGCAGCTCTATCCCTAGTAGTAAAGCATCTGAAGCTTAAAGCTGATCACTTCCATCCGTTCATTTCGTAGGTTAAGGATGTATTGAGCTAATAACTCTTCGTGGTCTGGTGCTATAGCAGAGAAACAAATTTACATTCTTTTAATCTGTACTTACAAAGTTATGAATATGACACCCAAGTACACTTTCCGGGCTAGACAGACACTTCAGTTTTCTTTTTATCTCGATTGCCACAGATAGTACCGTCGGATAGCAGCTAACCCACAGAACGAGACATCGGCTAAATCCTTTGGCACGGATTATACAACAAAATTATATAGATTCCAGGCAATGTGTGGAAACGAACACACGACCCTAAAAAATAAAACTAGGCAAGAAATAAAAATAAAATTTAAAATGTCATGGCGGTGCCAACACTATTATATGGATGTGATACTGGGTGCCAGCACAAAGAAATGTTAGTAGGATACAAGAAGCGGAAATGAGATTTTATCAAGGAGTTCAAGGATGTACATAAGCAGACAGGTTCAAAAATGAAGATATAAGAAAAAAATACAAATAGAGGCATTAAATACAAAAGTAATTGGGTAACGCAGGAAATGGGCAGAACACTCGTCAAGGAAGACAATACCAAAAATAATAGGATTTGAGGTTTTCATGGCGGTGAGTTTGAAGATGGCTGTCTTCTGGGTTGTTGCACCGTGTGGTCCGATAGAAGTTTACCGATGTTTGAGAGGTCCTTGCTGCCTGCATAATCAGGACGATGGCGGAGGTAAATTCTTATATGGAGCAGGAGTAAGATAGTGCTGTTCTTTATATCGTGATTCAAGTGACATTTTATAGGATTACTGTATAGCTTAATTCCAGCACAGTAAACTTCTTTTTGAAATTTACCGAGGTTAGAGTTTGGCACATGAAGGTTATATCTTGTACTTATATTATGGATATCTGTTTCTTTGAAAATTGCCTATGTTCACTCAAATGATAATACCGAAAGCAAGAATTCGCCGGCTACTTGAATGCACAAGAATTTAAAGAAGCAAATGCAACATGAATAAAAACTGACGTTCACCAAGTGTAGACCCATGAAAACAATACATATTCCGTTCAAATCATGTTACAGATCTTCCAGATCGTTTGAAAGCGCTTGGGAAAGAATTCTACGATACAAGTAACCAAGGTTCGGAAAAGTTTTACGCCAGGGAAGAATTATGTTTACTGTGGTAATATCACCGATACTAACGCTTGGCTTGGAACACGTTTTTGAACAAGTGGCGATGTGTGATGGCGTGGCCAGTGTTTGACGGAAAGCGACTGTTTGATACACGAGAATGAACCTTGAAAGAACGCTGTGTTTGAACAGAAACTTTTGAATAAGAAAGCGGAAGTTTCATTCATAAGGGCTGGATGGATCAACTACCAGCTGCTGCAGGTAACTACGTGCCTGCCCGACAACGATTTTCGCATTCTCTGTGATAGTCAATGTTGGAAAAGTAATTACGACAAGAAGATGGCTGTATGCGGAGTTTTATAGGTGTGTAATTTGGTAGAAGTGAATATTTTTAGTTAAAAACGATCGAAAATTTAGCCAGGTAGAGTTCATGCAATTTTGCAAGGAACAGACAGGTTAATCTTCTGGGGAAATTCAACAGACAATAATAAAATAAAGTACATCCAAAAGAAAATTATTATAATAATGGCAGGTGTTAAAAAAAGCAGTCTTGTAGAAAATGATTTTGCAGAATTACTATACTTCCATTTGCAAGTGATATGCTGTCCTTACTGTAATTTGTGGTGGAGAACGTTTATAAATTTGAAAGAAATACAGATATACACAATTAAACACAACATAAATATGACCTTCATATGCCAATTAGTAATCTCGCTTTGGAATGCGGACAGATCGCACATTAGATTAATTGATGTGTCATCTGTGAATAGATATGACCACACCAGACATGGATTGCACCTAAATTCAAGGGGTAAGGAGAAGCTTGTGCAACTCATTGCCAGTGAGATTAGGAGCAAGCCAAATACTGGTAAGATTCCTGTTATCACTGGTGTAAGACCTAGGCCTTTTTTAGGTTAAGGCCCAAATGTATCACTAAATTCCTGAAAGATATCCAAGTCAATGTAAATAAGCCAGTTCTAAAATTAGATCACAATCAAAATGAAAATTTCATGTTATATCATCAGAACATTAGAGGCCTTTCAACCAAAAACTTAGAAACCACCCAGAAAGAAAATCTCCTGGTTTTCCATCAGAACATCAGAGGACTTT